AGGAAAAAAAAAAGCCAAAATTTTTCCAAATTAACCCCCAAAACCTTTTAAAAAAAAAAAAAAAAAAAAAAAAAAAAATCACAAAAACAATCGCGAAATTCTGGAGGGACTGAAAAGATGTTCAGTATTATTTAATTTGAAGAATCAGTTAGTATTTTTAACATGTTTTATCAATACATTATGACACAACACAGGCATTTTAGGACCATTTATAAATTTGATTTAGCCCAAAATGGAAACGAGTCTGTGTTAAAGGAACTGTTCAATAAATTTGCAGAAGAAAGCTAATAAATACAGAGAGGAAACCTGCTCTTGATCCCAGACTAAAGTGATGATTTTTCTTCCAAACTGACAGCGACATGAAGCACGCGTTAAGACAACAAAGCATTGGCAGTAGAAGCAGCCCGAGAATGTCCTTAAGTGATTAGGTGATCCAGACAGGGCTTGGACTTAAACCCTATAGAAAATCTCTGGAGGGACTTAAACCTGTTCTGCCTCGCCAAAAGTTTTATTTACTCGTTTAAGAAAAGAAAACAACTCTCCCATATGTGTGTGTATCGAATTCTACGGACTAAAGAGATGATACATTGGTCCAATTTGGTGTGTTTTGGGCTTTGACTGAGGCTAAAAGCGGTGTTTTCCGGGCGACAGCTCCCTCTGGCGGCGCCTCGGTGGAACTGCCGCTCACTGGAGGCGGTGTCAGATGAGGGCGCGCGCTCTGCTGTCTGGCTCCGCGGCTGAAGTGGATGAGCAGATGAGCGGCTCCCGTGAAGGATGGCGGACCTCTGATTTAATCACTTCTGGTGAAAACAAGTGAGCAGACGAGCCGCGCAGAATTCCCCGAGGACAACAATTTCTCACAGAGAAAGGTGAGCATTTATATATATTTTTCTTTTAATTTAAACGTCAGGCTAAAATGAGAAAAGCGGTGTTATCGTTCCAAGGAAAATGGCAGAATTTCGCAAATAACTCATTTTTACCCTCCTTTTGACGCCGTTGTGTACCGCCGCGTTCGCTGAAGGGGGGTTTATTTATTTATTTCACCATTATATAAATATTCCCCGCACAATATTTTTTTTTTCTTTAACCTTCTATTTAGACATGGAGTTGTAGGCAGAGGTTCACTCCTAAAATAGAAAGTCACTACATGTGTTTGTACTGCAGTGGCACCGGTGGTAATCCTGGATTTCCTTTAATCTTCCAGCTCCTCTGCCACCTACACGCTCAGCTCCCGGTAACCACACAGTTTCCATCAGACAATGAGTGATGGTGGCAGCTGCCTGCCATAGCTGCACCGTGTGTAGGCAACCACGCATCCTCTCACAGTAACACTG